TCAGAAGCAAGTTGCACCCCGACAAAGCCACCACAGTGTGGCAGTTCATACCAATCACAAATCCCACGTTGAAAGCTCCAACTTCCGAATCCTATTTAAACGGAATTAGAGGAAGCATTGAGGACGTTCTTGGGTTGAAGAGCACCGTTTCAGCGGTCGTCTACTCGCACCTGCACCACTTATACGGACGTAAACCTGCGCACCTCTTCGTACCAGACGATGATATCAAAGCATCCCCCCACCAGCTAGAAACACTGGTCCAAACCCTGTGATTCCTTGGGTGATGTGCAGGTGAACAGAACGATTCTTCCAACTTCCAAGACACAAAGATGAGAGCTTCAGCCAGATCAGAGATATTTTGTGGCAGAGTGACATTGTGCAAGGCCTCATCGAGGTTTGCGTGAGGAAACACATCAAAACCTTTGTAAGCTCCTACTTAATGGGTTCTGATACCTTCTCCTGTCAACTCACATTGAAGACCCAATGCTCCTCCTCCAAGACGAATTACTGCCCGCAGTTGTGCGGCAAACTCCAACTGGACTCAAGGTCGGATCTAGAACAATGAATGCTGATGATCATGGCATAAATGAAATTCAATTTAACATAAGCTCTAAGTTAGTAAGCATCGAAACGGGGATACATTATCCTTCATAAGCTTCGTAAAAATCACCACGCACAACTTCAAAGATTACTCAGGTTAGCATCTAACCTCGTTGGATACAAAACATCAACAATTAAACGGAGTAATTACGGCTGGATCAACTGTCGCAAGCTCAAAACTGTTCCTAAACTCTGAGAACATTGAGGCCGTACCTCTGATCTAGCATTGCCTATGTTGAGAATGTTTAGAAAGACACAAGAGTAATAGTAAGTCATACACACACAAGAGTAGTAGTAAGTCATACACACAAGAGAGTTTCTAAGGAGAGAGAGCTTCACACTCAAAAATCTATTGATTTGGTTGTGTCTTGTATACCAGAAGAGAAAAGAGGAGAAGATAAACAATACTTCTCCACTAGACTCTAAATACTATAGCTATGGTAATTACTGTAGTCTACAGTAAATATCATGGAGAGCGCCGGCTACATTTAATGATCTCAACACTCCTCCTCGCTCATCATAATATTTACATAATATAAAATTTGTATAGAATTATGATCTATACTTTTTTGTGATCTTGCAAGATCAACAATTGTTGCCTCATTAAAACCTTATCTAGGAAAACCTTTTTTTATTTAAGGACAAAACCATAGATGAAGAAAAAAGAGTACATCATTTTCTTTAATTATTTAAAGAGCTCATTAACTTTCATATTCAAGAAAAGCAAGTCGCCGCATACCAATACCATAAGTAAGTCGACGATGGTTGCTTAATGGAAGAGCTTTGGTGAAGAGATCAACAAGGTTATTTGTAGATTCAATTTTCTTAATTATAAGTGCTTGATCAGTAATCAAGTCATGAGTATAATTAAAATACTTTGGATCAATATGCTTTGTCTTGTCGCCTTTAATGAAACCAACTTGCATCTATGCAATACAAGCACTATTATCTTCATGCAAGATAGTTGGAGAATCATCATATGAAAATCCACAGGTTGTTTGAATGAATTTATCAATTGATCGCAACCAAATACATTCTCGAGATGCTTCATGTAAGGCAATAATTTCTACATGGTTGGATGAAGTTGCAGTTATTGTTTGTTTCACTGATTTCTATGATATTGCAGCTCTATGTCTTAAAAATACATATCCTATTTGAGATTTAGCTGTTGCAATATCAGATTTATATCATGCATCACAATATCCAATCAATTTTGGATCCATCGATTTTGTGTAGTATAATCCCAAGTCTTCAATACCTTTTAAATAACGTAATAAATATTTGATGCCATTCCAATGTCGTAGTGTTGGATGTGCATTATGTCTTGCAAGAACACTAACTGCAAATGTAATATCTGGTCTTGTAGATGTAGCTAAATACAAAAGTGCTCCAACCGCTGCGAGGTATAGATATTGGTCTCCCAATATTTCCTCCTCCTCCTCACATGGACGGTATGGATCACGACCATCACGACCACATCCAACCATTGGTGTAGACAATGGATAAGCATCAATCATATTAAATCTTCGTAAGATTTGTCTAATATACGTTAGTTGATAGAAAAAAATACTACCATCTGTTAGATGCATAATTTAAAGACCAATACAGAAAGTTATTTTTCCTAGCATTTTCATCTCAAATTCACGTATAAGTAGGTTTGTAGCTGTAACACATGCAGATGTAGTGTCCACTAGGTTAAGATCATCAACATATACAGCGATGATCACAAAACTAGTTTTATCTCGTTTGATAAACAAACAAGGAATTAGTGGATCACTGATAAAATTATTTGTAATTAAATAATCTCAAAGACATTGATACCACATTTGTTTGGATTGTTTTAAATCATACAAGGCCTTACATAATTTAATACCACGATATTTTTCTGAAGCGAGTTGATTTGGAGTTCCTATTTCTAAGCCAGGTAGAACTTTCATATAAATATTTGCATCAAGAGAACCATATAGATATGCAATTACTACATCCATCAGATGCATCTCAAGGGTGGCATGAACTATCATTCCAATAATATATCCAAATGTAATTGAATCCATGATTGGAGAATATGTGTATTCATAATCAATGCCAAATCATTGAATAAATCCTTGAGCAGCAAGACGAGCTTTATAGTGGGTTATTTGGCCTTGAGCATCTCGCTTGCATATTAATACCATTTTATATCCCACAGGGCGAGATGTAAGAGTGTCTACAATTAAACCAAAGACTTTCTTCTTACGCAAAGAGGCATACTCCTCCTCAATAGCAGTTTTTTATTTTGACCAATTTGAGCGACGCATCGCCTCTTCGATGGTTTGAGGTTTAAGATCGTCTTCCTCATAAGAAAGGGCTTCTATAATCATATATGCAAATGATTCATCTACCGTAATAGATGGTGTGTCCCAAATATCATCTGTAGCACAATACAAAATAGATAATTCTTTACTCAACTTGTTCTTATTCCTTCCAATTCCAAGATTGTTTTTCATAGGAATTGAAGGTACATTATGCATGGATATATCATCATGAATTGGTAGTCCTGCAAGATGAGTGGCAATTTCTTGAGAAATAATACCAAGATTAGTTAATTTTATAGCTTTCTTCTTATATGGTTGCTTATCTGATCTACGAGTTCTTTTAGTTGTTCTTGTTATAACTTGAGGTATTGTAGTCAATGGCATTGCAATCTGAGCAGGTGCATTTTGAGCCTCATTAATAGGAATTCTTATAATTTTAGATGCATCATTGAAGCCATCAGGTATTTTATCCGTGATCCATTTTAAATGTAAAATCTTAGTAACTTCAGTTTCTGTCAAAGATGTCTTAGGATCGGGATTCATTGTAAACATTTCTGGTGCTTCAAATATGAGTACTTTATTGCTTTATTGATTGGATACTCCTCTTTGAAGAGATGGAAATACATTTTCTTCAAAATGACAATTTTGCAGATGTGCACATAATAATGTGCCAGTTGATGGATCAACAATACGAATAATGCTTGGTGAATCAAAACCAATATATATATGTCTTATTGTCGATG